GTGGGTTGTTTCTTTTAATTATGAAAAATTTCAAACACAGAAAAATAGAGAAAATAACAGTATAACAAACACCTGTATTCTTATCACCTAGACTTATCATTTTTTGTTGAAGCATTTTAAAAGTAAGTTACATACACTAGGACATGTAAAACACTTCAGTATAAATCTCTAAATAATAAAGACGTTTTCTCTCTCATGTAGCCATAGGTTATTATCACACTCAACCGAATTAAAATAATTCTTTTTTTAAAATTTGAGATTAAAAAAATTGATTTCAGAGAAAGAGGAGGGAAGAGAGAGAAACATCAATTTTGATCAACTGCCTCCTGCATGCCCCCTACTGGGGATTAAGCCCACAACCCAGGCATGTGCCCCGACCGGAAATCAAACCAGCGATCTCTTGGTGCATGGGTCAATGCTCAACCATTGAGCCATACAGGCCAGGCTAAAATAACTCTTTATTTTTTTCTCATACCTAACTCATCAAAATTTTGTGATTAGTTCTCAAAAGAATAGTCTCAAACTATGAGTATCAGAGATAAGTTACAGAAGAAAAGAGAATGTTCACAGAAAGGGGTGCTGGCTGGAACTAGCAGAATCCCAGAGATCCCGTCCTCATACTGAAATTATTTTAAGCTTGTTTCTTTCTTCCTTTTTTTATCAGAGTTACAGCAATCATTTTCAACACAACAATCAACACTTGTGAACTAAGCATTAGCAGTCAACACAATGTGTTTTTGTAAAGTATTTTTTTGGGGCAATTTTGTATCAAACCAAACCAAAACAACCCCCCAAAAACTAAACTAAGATACAGAGGGCAGAGGGGAAAGCTTTAGAAAGAAACAGTTCTTAAACCTTTTCTTGTCTAGCGAGTCTCGCAACAGGAACTCTGAGTTCCTAAGGACGTTTACTCACCGGTATGTGTGTCCCGTGATTTCATTTCTGACCATGACACAATCCACTAGCCACTTGGCTAACAGTCCTGAGTTGTCGTGGCCAATCTGCACAGTGGTCAGCTTCCCCAGGTTCTGGCACTGTGGGGACAGGACCACAGGTTACTCAGCACCCGTCCCATCCCACTTCCTCTGGGCTTTCGCTGTGGTGCTGTGGCTCCACCTCCCTCCACTGCAGAGGACCCACCCTGCAAGGGTGCTCTGCTCTGCACTGGAGAAGCACAGTCACAGCCAATACATCCCCTCTCATGAGACAGGAGACGGGTGGACTTTGTCTAATGAAGGGACCGCACAAGGTGCTGGACTCGAGACGTAAGCAGTGGAAGCAGACACTGGAGAAGGAAATTTATTTCTAACCGGGGAACCCAGAAACACCACACAGACAGTGATGTGTGCCTTAAAGGATGAGAAGAGTTTCAAGAAGTGGAAAAAGGGTGCTATTAGGTTCAGTTGCAGAGAGGTCAGAAACACACCTATAGATATAAAAAGAAAGAAATCACTGACCCAGCTATTTTTGTTCCAAATAAAATACTCAGGCAGAACTGACCTTAAACCTCATCTACTAGATAGAAGTCTTCAAAGCTATTGTTAAAAAACAACAACAAGACAGCATAGCTATCAACATCTTTCCTGGCCCTTTGTGGACAAGTACAAAAGAAAGTGATCATAACAGGAATGATAAAAATACATGTCAATTAAATGCTGACTTTTAAATTCTGGTAAGAGATCACAGACCCCACTGCCTATGTGCGGTTGGGACGATCAGGGCTGAGTTCTTAGGCCCCTGACTTTGCATCGCAGTGAGAAGGCATCACAGTGACTCAGGTGAGAGGGATGGCACCTTAAATTAGCTGTGGCTGCTGAGATGGAAGGACCAGACAGATATGAGAGTTTGGAAGCAGCATTGATGGGACGTACGGTGCAGTTATGTTCCATTCTTGGTAGTCAAAGAAAAGCTAAGGGTTTTAATCTTTTATATACAGACTAGTGGCCCGGTGCATGGATTCGTGCACTGGCGGGGTCCCTCGGCCTGGCCTGCACCCTCTCGCAATCTGGGACCCCTCAGGGGATGTTGGACTGCCTGTTTCGGCCCGACCCCCACAGGCCAGGCTAAGGGACCCCACCGATGCAAGAATCTGTGCACTGGGCCAGTTTTGGCTCGATCCCCGCAGGCCACGAATCCATGCCACCAGACCTCTAGTATGCATGTAAGATTTTTGGTTAATCTCTTCCTGCCCTCTCCCTCTCCCATTCCCTCTGAGATTCATCATTCTGTGTCACATTTCCATGCCTGTGCGTTGAGCATCTGCCCCCTGGTGGTCAGTGCGCATCATAGTTACCAGTCGAATGGTTGCTTAGGCTTTTATATATATAGATGGCTGTGAGTTCACTGGGTAGATAGGGCCCAAATGGGATTCTGCGTGGAGAGAGCTATTCCTGGGCCGCAAGGAACATGAGAACAGGGCGCTCAGTTAGTACCACTTCCTTTCAGAGCAGGCACTGGCTTCCTCCAGCATGCCGGGCCCTACCTGCCTGTGAGCACACACACGCGGGAATACTTCCCCAAGCCAGACCTGAACGAGGGCACTGAAAGGTATTTTCACAAAATCACTTTACAAATGTCACCACGTGGTCTGCAGGCCATGAGCAGGGACGCAATTCTCCTGTCCCTGTGGCCAGGGTCAGGCGGGAGCGTCTGAAGTGAGGATGAGGACTGCTGTGGGGAAAGCACTGAGTGCTAAGGCTCGTCGCAATCTGGGACCCCTCAGGGGATGTTGGACTGCCTGTTTCGGCCCGATCCCCACAGGCCAGGCTAAGGGACCCCACCGATGCAAGAATCTGTGCACTGGGCCAGTTTTGGCTCGATCCCCGCAGGCCACGAATCCATGCCACCAGACCTCTAGTATGCATGTAAGATTTTTGGTTAATCTCTTCCTGCCCTCTCCCTCCCCCATTCCCTCTGAGGTTCATCATTCTGTGTCACATTTCCATGCCTGTGCGTTGAGCGTCTGCCCCCTGGTGGTCAGTGCGCATCATAGTTACCAGTCGAATGGTTGCTTAGGCTTTTATATATATAGATGGCTGTGAGTTCACTGGGTAGATAGGGCCCAAATGGGATTCTGCGTGGAGAGAGCTATTCCTGGGCCGCAAGGAACATGAGAACAGGGCGCTCAGTTAGTACCACTTCCTTTCAGAGCAGGCACTGGCTTCCTCCAGCATGCCGGGCCCTACCTGCCTGTGAGCACACACACGCGGGAATACTTCCCCAAGCCAGACCTGAACGAGGGCACTGAAAGGTATTTTCACAAAATCACTTTACAAATGTCACCACGTGGTCTGCAGGCCATGAGCAGGGACGCAATTCTCCTGTCCCTGTGGCCAGGGTCAGGCGGGAGCGTCTGAAGTGAGGATGAGGACTGCTGTGGGGAAAGCACTGAGTGCTAAGGCTCGGGGTCCTGGAGCAGGACTGGAAAAGGCCCCAGTGCACCATCACAGGTGGGAAAGCAGAGCTTAACAATGGAACTTACAACCAAGACACAAAACAAATTAACGTGTTTATGACAACTTGCCCACAGGTACATGACCACAGAAGTGATCCTGCATGCCTGACTGCGCCTGTGTATTATCTGACTCAAGGAAAATGAAAAGGTGAAACTGGAATCTTTGTGTGGAATTACATATGACACTTTCTGCTGGGACCGACCTCAAAGGTCATTTCGAGGAGGTTTTTGGGGATCTGCATCACTCCCGTGTCTCCCAGTTCTCCCGACACACAGATCCAGGGGTTCGAGGTGATGATCGCGTTGCTCAGCTTCTTGATGGGGATGATCACCGACCTATACGGAATCACTGGAGGAAAATGCTGAAATTAGTTAAAAATTACAATACAATTCTCCTGATAACAAAACAAACATATATTAAGAACTCTGTTGGCTTTCACAGATAAGTCACTTAAACATATGTGTTTAAAAATATGTTTCATTAATTTTTAGAGAGAGAAAGGGAGAGAGAAACATTGACTGGCTGCCTCCTGAACACACCACACTGCGGATCGAGCCCACAACCCAGGCACGTGCCCTGATGGGAGTCGATCTGCCGACCTATTGGGGCATGGGAGGACGCTCAACCACCTGAGCCACATCGGCCAGGGCCACAGATAATTCACTTTTTATGATCTATCAAGATGTACTTAGACAAAAAGATGAGATCATAACCCTTCCTAGTTTAGAAAAATGAGGTCCAGTTTGTAAGCCCTAAGTCCTGATACCTGAGGTGGTTTCCCCAGCATATACACCACCATGTGTGCATGGCATGCGTATCACCTTGGCGATATACATCCCCGTGCATTTATAAACAGTCTCAGGCATTAGCACCAGAATACCTGAGGACATGAACACTAACAGTGCTGTAAAGTGTTTTCATTGCTTTAACGCTTTTATTAATTTTGTTTCAAAACCGAGTACACATGAGCACGGCTCCTGGCTGGTTTCATATGAAAAAGGGGCTGAATGACTTCTTGGCTAGCATCCCTGTTGCTGACTGTCTTGGGCAGTGCTTTAAGGCACGGCACTTCCGAACATTCTCATCCCAATTTTACAGCTCAATATGCAAAGCCGAGAAAAATGAACAACGGCACCGCCACTCTGGACACAACGTAAGGTCTTTAAACAACAACTTGGAAAGCTATGGAGGTGACTCACGACTCATGGAGGGGCCTCGGGAAAAGAATTAAGATGTGGAAACGGCTGTGGGAACCCTCATCTTCTGAAGGCTCTTCAAAGGCACACCACTAGGTGTCACTGTCCCACCACTGTTTTTGCTCAAATGTGGGAACACAATAAGTCAGACATTACCACGCCCCCTCCATTTTCCTTTAAAAAATGGGGGCGGCTCAAACACAGTAGCACGTCCTTATCCTTCAGAGCCATACGTTGTCTCCCCCCCCCTCCCAAAAAAAAGCAGGGTAGAATCCATATCTTTTGTTGGTATTCTGGGATTTCTGCTCACTCGGTTACCGGAGGGCGTATGAGAAGCCCTCCCTGAAAGACGTACCGGGAAGGAGAGAAACACTCACTGGGCCAGATGCCCAGGTGCCGCCTCCCCATACGGGCTCAGGGTTCAGTGCATTCTTAGGGGAGGAACATGAATGGGACAAACGGTTCGTTTCCCTGATTTTACACAGACCACGTTCTTCACGTGGAGCGGATCACCTCCCCGTCTGTCTGTCTATTTTGGCCGAAGGAGAGGAAATGCTAGAGGAAAGGCCCTACTTGCATGTTTCAGTCATCACAAGAATCAAGTCGTTTTTGGAACTGAAAGCAGAAGAGGTTAGTGCGAGACTATTTTGGGCGCCAGAGGTTTCTCTAATTTCTTTCATTGACAGGATTAAAAAAGCTTCAAGAAAAGGGCCAGCAGCTCTGTGCCTGCAAAGGGCCCACAGATGCACCACAGTGATTTCATCAAGTGTAAAAAGTAACATTATTTAAACTCAGAATATTTCTTTCATGAAGTATCTCAATTCCTCAAACTGAAAGACTTTCTTAGCTGAGGAGAAATCTGCAGATATAAGGAGGATTCTAGGAGTCCTATTTCTTCTCTTTCAAAATTGTATATAACATTTTAGCTTTTCATTCCTGCAATAACCTAATAACCCAATAAATGAATAGTAGCTTCCCAGACAGGTTAGCTCAATAACCATTTCAACTCCAGGGTTCCTTGTCTGCCTCTAGCAGAGACTAGAAAAACCAAAACCTACACGATTCTGGCCAGTGGGATGCTAGTGATGTTTATGGTGACGGCTTGGGAAATTGTTTTTCGAGCACAGATTCTGACGCTTTTTCCTTGGCATTCCATCCTTCTTCCTGCTGGAAGGTGGACTGAGAATAGCCATTCTGTGACCAGGAGGTGATGAGCACACACTGAGGATTGTCTAAGAGGAGAGGGACAAAGAGCCCTTGTCCAAGCCCTGTCCGGTGTTGCCAAGTGGTTAGAGCTTTGGCCTGAGGACCAAGGGGTCGCGGGTTTGATTTCTGGTCAAGGGTACGTACCTCGGTTGAAAGTTCACTCCTGGCTCCAGCCGGGGCATGTGCAGGAGGCAACCATTTGACATGACTCTCTCACATCAATGTTTCTCTCTTTTCCTTCCTCTTTATCTCCCTACCCTCTTCTCCCCTTCCACTATGGACTGTCTACTACAAGACTTCTTGTTATGCAAGAAAAATAAAAATACTAAGTTGTTTAAACCACTGTTTTGCAAGTTTCTCAAACTTGCAGCTGAACATAACTCCAAACTGATACAAGTAAAAAGTCTATAAACTAGGAAAGGGGACCCACAGCTAGTGAGAATCAGCAATGGTGAAGAGAATAAACGCTTTAATTCAGCTCATCCAAACCCATCAGCATCTCCTCCCTCCACAGCCCACACTCCCCAGCAAGATCCTGAAGTCTTTTGGAATCACCACAGAGTAACGATGTTCAGGTAGAAGAGATTATTTTTATCACCTACTGATTCTTTGAATTTATGGGTTTTGGATAAGATCTAGAAATATATCCCTTTTCATGTCCATCCCACTCCTGTTGCAGACTGAGTTTCCTGGGAGGCAGACCCTGAGTTGGAAATCAGCACCAGAATGTTGCTTCTGGGATCAACGTGAGAGAAGAAAGCAGGCCTGGTGGAGGGAGAGGCTGAGCTGTGAGCTGTCGTGATGACGCCAGATGGCCAGATGGCGAGTTCTGGGACAGCCTCTGACCATCAGAGCAGGCTGGCCCTGGCAGGAGGGCTCCCTGGGGTGCAGCACTCCCTCCCCACAGGGCCGAGAACTGAGGACCCTTCATTCCTAAAGGAGGGGGAGGGGCATCACAGTGCCCACCTCAGTGTACTAGGGTATGTCTCACTTTAAAAAATATGAACCTTATTCCATTTGTCGCCCGAGCAACTCTTCACTGAACAGCGGCTCCCCAGACTTACTGATGGTGGTGAAGACACTGGTGAAACAGAAGTAGTCCACAGCGTTGAGGGAGAGAAGATGGTAGAGAAACTGTTCTCTTTCTTCTTCGCAACACAGAAAGGCATAGCGCTTATAGAGCTTTCTAGGAAAGAGCAGGACAAGCACACAACAATGTAGGCTATTTCTCATCATGTCTTCCATGAAGAGTAAACACCTCTGCTTAGACAAACTGGGTAGAAATTCTAATCTGGAAGAACAGACAATTCTCAAAAATGAACATGTAGACAGTTAACATTTTTAACCTAA